AGAAATGTAAAGGTACAAAGGCAAACTGGGACAGGGCTGGACAAGGCCTCAGTGCCAAGAAATTTAGACTTCATTCCATGGACAGGAATGCCAAGCAAAGAAATGAAAAGATAAATGCCATAGAGAACTATTTTGATAATCTGATTTTCTAAACAACTGAAAGCAGACTAGAACTAAAAAGCTTATAGAGGCACCTGGTCTGAAGACACAGAACCCTTGACTTGGATGACAGTGCAATGGCTAAGCACTGGGCTGCTGGCTGGTGGTTTTAACTCACAAGTTGCTCTATGGGAGAAAAGCCCCAGGGAGACGCTCCGATAGACTGCAGTCTATGTGCACTGGTGTTGGGTGTAATGGAGGACGGAGGTCCATGAGGCGAGGATGGAACACGTAGGTTGTGGAATCCAGGAAGGTTTGATTAGTAGTTTGAACTGTTGAATACAACGTTAATAATCTGGAATGTAGCGCCTACCTAATTTACAACAAAAGTTTGTTTTGTTTTTTAATAAAAAATCTACAGAAGGGAAAAAAGCTTAGTCTAGGAAACAAGGGCAGTTCTACTCAATCCTTGAGTTGTCATTAGTCAGAATTGACCTGCCGAGACACACTAATACTCCGACAGCCACTGCACTCAGTACTGGGGAGATGAAAGATAGAAAGATGAGTGAGGACATTGTCCTGCTAGTTTTTTATTTCATCCCTTCTACTGTTCTGCCTTATACATTAAGTCAGCCACACTGCTCCCCCACCTCCCCCCCTTTGCTATTCCCCAAGAATGTGCTGGTTCAGGCCAGGTACTGAGCCATTTCTTTTGCCCAAAATCCTTTTTCCCTAGATATGCACCTGGCTAATGTCACCTTCTCAGTGCGGTCTATCCTGGCAACGTTGTTTTAAAACGTAATCAGCTCTCCTTTTATTTCTTCCCTATCATTCACCATGTAACGCAATTCATCCTTTATCTATTTATTAGGTGTGCTCGTTTCTCCCTACCAGAAAGTAAACTCCACAGGGACAAGGAAAGGTCTTTGCCTCTTATTCATGAGCATGACTACAAGAATGTCTGGCATATGGGAACACTCAGTACATATTTGTTAACAATTTAACATACAGACTGTGAGGTTGCACTATTTTCTCTCTAAGCAATGTGATACAGTGAGAGAAGAATATGTGTCATTTGTCTGGAGAGCACAAAGGAAAGGTATCTGAAAAGGCTCAAGGGACGTTGCTTCTAAGAAAGTTGTATTTAGTGAAATGAATATGAGGTGTGCTGTAAAATAAAACGGAACAGTCTTACCTGCTGAGAACAGCAGCAAAGAGATCTACTGTTATTTCACTGAAATGATTTGTCTTAATCATCATTCCAGTTTTAGCACCCAATACAGAGCTAGGTATATGAGGGGTTACCCCTCCCCAAAATAGTTTTTCAAAACTATGTATTTAAATTTTTTAAAAAACAACCTGATCACCTTCAAAGTACTCTCCATTACGTTGAAAACATTTGTCAAATCTGTGATTCCATTCTTGGAAACATTTTTCAAGCTCATCACTTTGGATGGCTGACAGCACCTCTGTTTTTTCTTCACCTCTTCTACTTTTCAAATTGCTGTCCTTTCATGGCCCTCTCCATTCATGGAAACAAAAAGTAGTCACATGGTCAGGTGAGTAAGGTGTGTGGAGCAAGAGAGGCATGCTGTTTTTTGCCAAAACGGGCACACTGAGATGGCTGTGTGAGCAGGGGCACTGTTGTAGTGGCATAGCCAGTCCCCCATCTGCCACAACTCAGGCCTTTTTGGTCTCACACTGTTACGCGGTCTCTTTGGAACCTCTAAACAGAAAGCTTGATTAACAGTTTTATCTGGTTGAATGAACTCCAAATGCACTAAGAGTTGACATTTTCATCCTTTTGGGAAATTTACGTCCACGAGGTTTGTTATCAACGGACATTTCACCTATTTGAAATGAAAAAACCACTTGTACACTTGAGTTTTTCCCATAGTGCTGTGCTTGTAAGCTGTGTTCTACATCACAGCTGTTCTGCAGCATTTTTCCCAAGCAGGAAACAAACTTTCATAGCCACATGCTGTTCTCTTAAATCGGCCTTCACAAAAAGGAGGTTTTAGTAAAACTGCTTTTACAAAAAAAAAAAATCACTGTCACCACAGAAAATTCCCAGGCGATGCCCACGGGGTAGACTACACCGGAGCGAGCTGCCCCATACTCACCTTGTAGGAAACACGCACACTACGAAAGCTTCGTTCCGCCCAGCGCAGTGCTGGCATTCTGGGGTACCTCCTTGTATCGTGCCATTTAAAGGTTTGTTAACCTGAACTAAGCTAGATAAAGAAAAAGAGCAGCCATGGTCTTTACACAAGCTAAGGAGGAGAAGTCGGAGAAGTAGAAAAAGGCAGGATCACATTATGTCCATGAAATCCTGATGTCAAATGTTTAGAGGTCACAGATCAATCTGGAGGAATGCAAGTTGGAGCTGTCACATAGCACAAAACTGTAGGTACACTAGGAAAAAATGCAGACTATAATATGTAAAGGAGTCAGTAGTATGCTAAAGCAAAAGTAGAGGTATTGGGTACAGATTCTTCTTCTGAAAAGCTTACCAAGTACGTTCAAATACATTCTCTTACTTGCCATCACCTTAACAACGAGGGCACAGAAACGACAGGGTTGACTCGTCCAAGGCCAGGCAGCCGGCAAAGGTATGAAATAAAACACACACTTCGTTTTTCTGACTGATTCTCTGATTAGGGCCATGCAGCGCATGGCATGCAGGACACGTTCTGTGAAACTGCGTTGTGCGGTATCACTGTCTGGCTCTGCTTTTGCTTTCAAACCTCTCCAGCTGTGCTCCAGCCAGTCGTGATCACTGACATGCGGAGTGATTTCCCTTTGCTCCTCTTTAATGTCATTACCGATCTCTCCAGACCTTCTACAACTCCTGTTTGAAGCCCTCTTAGCCTTGTAGCTCAGTGGAGCTGATGCTTAATAGACTGGAGAATATTTTGTTTTTGACGTTCATCTTGATAGTCCAGTGAGACATAGCTAAACAAGGCACAATCAATCACCTTCACTTATTTTCCACGTCATGTTCTTTAAGATCCTTTTTCTATTTCAAATCCATGACTTCTCTTTTGCTACTTACTGCTGCTATCATTCACACTTGTTCTCCTGCATTTGGGAGCCAAGATACACTTCATAGACATATTTTCAAGAGAAAACGAAACAGAGCTAACACATTCAAAAGATGCACAATACATGAGAGTGGAGGCTGAGTCAAAACATAAAGTTACACAGTAAACTTTTGAAACAGAAATCACAGTATAGTACAAACACAAGGCAGTAACATATGTTGATCAAGTCACGTATATTGTAAGGTACGTATGTACCGCACATTATAGGTATTATGACTGGAAGTGCAACCACATTGTATACAAGACATATGTCACACGTAGGGCGCTGTGGTGCCTGTTCTGTTCTATGACTGGGATTTCTTAACTGGGCTACGCGCTGGGCTGGTAACTACAAGGTCTGTGGTTTGAATCCAGAAGCTGCTCCATGGGAGAATGATAAGGCTGTCTAATTCTAAAAATATTTTCCCCCAAAGTCTTAGAAACCTCAAGGGGTTGTTCTACCTTGTCCCATGGGTCATGATGAGTGGAAGCGACTTGGTAGCAGTCAGATTCCCGGGTGGCTCTGCCAGCTAAGCTCTGAGGGAGCTGCCTGTTCCTGCAGAGATTTAGTCTTGGTAACTGGATATAAGGTAAGTACGAGTTGGAATCAACTCCATGGGAGTGGTTTATCATAACCTTATGGGACCATGGACATATATGCAATTGGGTTTTGCCCAAACAAATATTATGTGGTACAAGACTATTACTTCCCCTCTACCCATCCATCCGCATGCTGTGACCTTCATATAGGTAATTAGTTGTTGTTGGTTTGATCCTGACTCAAAAGCACCACCTGCTCTGCAAGAGAAAGAGGAGGCCCTCTTCTACTACTCTAAGGATGCACAGTCTTGGAAACCTACAGGGGCGGTCCTACTCGTCCCTATAGGGTCACCGGGAGTCAGAAATGACTCCGGCAGTGACTTCAGTGGGCTTTCTGGCAACAAGGTAATAGTGACTGTTTTACTATGACTTGTGTTAAACTGTGTTCCATAGGATTTTCAAGGCTACCTTTCAAATCACCAGGCCTTTCTTCTAAATCCTGTCTGGATGGGTTTGTACCACCAATCTTCTGGTTGGTAGTACAGTGCTCAACCATTTGCATTCCCTAGGAATGTCCTTTCTAGTGACAAGATTTATAGTGGGTAGAGAATCCACTGCACTATCCCACCAATATTCAGGCATGAAGAAAATTCCGTCTTCTTGTACATTTAGTGCCTACAAAGAAGGTGGCTATTTCCATAAAGGATTTCAAGCAATGAGTGCAGACTACACAGAATCTCAGTAGTAGGAGTTATTAGACATCCGCACACCTTACAGTTTAATCTAGTTTGTATATGCAAACCATAAGCTATCTCTTATTCTCGAAGTTACAGTTTCCCAACCAGTGTACAGGAAAGGGTGTATAACCTTTAGGGTTGCAGGTCTAAAGTCTCTTTTATCTACTATAATGTACCATATAATTATTACCGGTTTCTGTGTGCCATTGTCTGAATAGGGTGAAAAGCACTGTCTTGGGTTACTCCTACACACATAATTACTTAAAAATTTGTTAGGGTATGCACCTTTATATTAATATATTTACATTACTAATGTATTCAAAGAGATAAAACTTTATAATGAATTCTGTTTTGTAACTCAATATCCAAAGATAAGGCTAAATATATTTGCCTTCTTTCCAAATATACTTAAGAGATTTATCACAAATATACTATACCTTTAATACCTATAATCTGAAAGCACTCAAATGACATCTTTTCATCAGACTCAAAGCTAAGATATGACATAGATTTCAAGAGAAAAACTAAGAAGAAAACATACCTGTGGAGCATATCCAGGAGGCACATAAATAGGAGGCACAGAACCATTTGGGGACATCATTGGAACCTGAGCAGGACCTGAGAGAGTTACAGACAATGTATTCATACATGGTCATTTCACGTGTCAGAAGTGAAAGCAACTTGAATTACAATTTGAGTGTGTCTTCTAAACAAGGTCTTGCAGTGGGGTATGGCGGGCAATTAACCGCAAAGTCGGCAGTTCAAAAGCACCACCTGCTCTGCAAGAGAAAGAGGAGGCCCTCTTCTACTACTCTAAGGATGCACAGTCTTGGAAACCTACAGGGGCGGTCCTACTCGTCCCTATAGGGTCACCGGGCGTCAGAAATGACTCCGGCAGTGACTTCAGTGGGCTTTCTGGCAACAAGGTAATAGTGACTGTTTTACTATGAAAATAAAACAAAAACTTTCCACTGCTGTAAGAGGCAGAACGTATCTCATGAAGTGCACGACCCTTAATGCTCAGTTGTTTCTAAAACGTGTCTGGTGATAAGTTACCTGAAAAACGCTTTACAACACAGCTTTCCAGGCTATCTTAAAGCTACACAATAGAAAATCAATATACTAAATCAATAGTAAATCAATACACTTGACTACATTCCAGGCAATTCTGATGACTGTGCAGTTTAGAAACATTGATGTACAGCAGGGTTGGCAAACTCTTGATAGAGAAAAGCTAATCCTGTCCCCCTCACAGTAATTTAAAACTTATTAAAGAGCCATAAATATATTTTTACAAATGAAATCACCATCACCTGAATAATATCCATTACATTTTTAAATATTTTGCTTCAGTGTCCTATGTACATACCAAAATAGCTGCATACGGTTCAAGAGCCTCAGTTTGCAGAGCCCTGGGCTAGAGCAATCCCCACGTAGGTGATACCTCCACCTCCCCGTGGGGGGGGGCCCACAAAAGCAGATGCTACACGCTCCTGGATTACAGGCTGCAGTCCTGACTGCAACTGTGAGGAGTTGACCTGGAGCTGATCTGTGAGTTTTCTTGTTCCTATTGAAGTGGCAGAGTCTCTGTGAAGCTTTGGACAGTCTTATGGCCTTCTGATTGCTTCCTTCATCTGTATTACTTGTCTTGGTCGTATCTTTGTCTTGCTTCAGACTTAATAAACAGGCCTCTACAAATGATATATTTGAATTTCTTTTTCTCCCCTAGGAACTCCAAAAATACTCACTGCAATTGATTCAATTCTGACTCCTGGTGACCCCGTGGTTTCCTGAGATGTACTCTAAAAGGGAGCGGAGGGTCTCCTCTTTCTCTATTTGTGTGGCCAGTGGTTTCCAACCACGTGGTTAGCAGCTCACGGGGCAACCCACCATACCAGTAGGGCTCCCCCTAGGGTACCAGGAGCTAACATTTTATTAGCTTTAAGGGGGTATCTTCCCTTCAGATCCTTTCTTTGCTGTAACTTTAGATTACATTATACCTCTCACCCACCAGTTTTTAATCACTTGACGTGAAATCCTTTCAAAGAGCCTTAGTTATTTCTGAGGAAATACCGTACATACTTGAGTATAAGCCGGCCCAAATATCAGCGAGGCACCTAATTTTACCACAAAAACTGCATTAAAAATGTGCTGAAAACTCAGTTTATACACGAGTATATATGGTGACTAAACCCTAGAGTCTGATGGAAGAATGTAACAGGGGAGAGGACTCCTTTTACAGGTAGAGTTTAAATCTACAGGGTTCATAAAACAGTCTGTTCTTTTCTGTATGAAGACATGAAAAAGGAAAAGTTCAATAGTAAGTTAGAAAGCAAATTTCACTGGTAACACTCACATCCTTGAGAAATGATGCAGAGCAGGGGGGCTAGAGCCACTCTCTTATTTCTTGGGAAGGGGGTCAGGGGACGGCAGAAGAAAGAGGCTGGGAAGGGAGAAACAACAAAGGAAGGGATGGAATGAGAAAAGATAGAGAGAAATAGGGCTCAGGGTGGAAATATCAGTCAGTGGTATGGAAAGGGGTGAGAGAGATGAGCAAATGAAAAAGGGAAAGCTGGGTGGAGGGAGAGGGGTGGGAGAGCAGAGAAAGGGCGAGGAAAGGGAGAAGAGAGTACAGAGGAGGGGAGGGAAGGAAGAGGAGACAAGAACTGGGGAGTACAAGGTGGACCAATGCGAAGAGCAAAGAGACGAGATGGGGAGAAGAGAGCGTAGGGACAAAACTCACGTGACTTTAAGAGAAAATCAAGGGGTCTGAGAGACAGAGTATGTGTGCAAACAGGCATGCAAGAGCCCTTTTACAGAGTACCAAATTAAACGAAATAAAGCTATAAAAATAACTTTCCAGCAAAATATTCCTCAGCTAAAATAAGCTCCCTAAATAGATGAAGTTTTCATCATAAAATAGCTACTTATATGTTGGCACAGTGGGTCAGCCACTGAGCTGCTAAGAGCAATGTCAGTGGTTCAGAGGCACGAGGCGCAGTTCCACGTAGGAAAAAGAGCTTTGCTGCTCCCGAAGTATTTAAGCTCCAAAACTTAAAGGGGCAGTACTCCTCTGTCCTGCAGGGTTGTGATGTGTTGAAATGGACTCCATGAGCAGTGGGGTTTGTTTTTAAAATGCATATAGGAATCCTTCTAGCTGAAAGGTATGTGGTTCAAACCTACCTAGAAGCTATAGGCCACTGCCATGAAAACCCTATGCAGTACAGTAAGTACTATGAGGTAACCAGCAACACTTACAGAAAACCAACTTCATGTCATTGGGCCCCCCCCCCCCAATATCCTCTACTCTTTATAAGGGAAATGTTATCATTAACAACCCCATTTCTTGGATATGGACATTGAGGCACAGAGAGGATAAACGTGCCCAGGTGGCAAAACTGGATTAAAATCAGACAGGGTCATTCCTACGGCTATACGTCTTTGCTATTGGCAACCGATGAACTCTGAGATTTAAGAACTATGTCCTAATGTTTCCAAGAAAAATCAAGGCTTTCAGTTTCTTGAAAAACAAAGGGAAAAGGAAGAAAAAACTTCTCTTACGTTTAAGCCAATGTGGTTCACTGAGAAATTTTGTGAACTACTTTACATCTCTACAACTTACATGTTAATGTCTGTAAACCGAACTCAAAGAGAAATAAGGACAATTATGCCTTAATCAGCAAAAATGCTGATTTACTTCTACTAATTTAAATAAAACTGTAATAAAATACCCATAATTAGATTTCAGAAGCATGAGAACTGGTTTAGAAATTATAATGTGCAAAATTTAGCTGAGAACTGAAAAAATATTTGAAAACCATACTTATGATTTTAATAAAGATTACAGCAAAAAAATAAATATTTACATAGCTTCTATCGTATTAAATCATTAGAGCAGAGATTTTTTGCCATTGAAGCTTTTTAAAATTACATACTTGATTATATTTAAAATCAAAAGGTGCTTTGCGCTGTCTTTTTACTAAAACTAAAAAGACATAAACACTATATAGATAGAAGTTAAACCATATTATATTTCAATAGCTGCTAAAATAGTATAAAATCCTACTTTATTCTTTGATTATATTTAAGTGTACTAAAAACAGCACACATCTAAAAAAATAAAAACAGGACAAATCTTAAGTAAGCCAGTAGATATTCCTAATTGAAGTCCATGTATAACGATTAACTTATTTCTTTACAAAGCAATCATTTCAACCTAGCAAGTAAATTTTCATAATTGAGGCTTCATCATCATACATGTTAGATTTTTTTTGAAAAAGAGTATCAGTACCATATTTAATACTTAAAGGACTGATTTTTAGTACCCATCAACACTGACTAAATTTCTCATTGTATGAACAGTTTATATGCAAACGTAAATATTTAGTGCCACGATGTCTAAAGTTACTATGTGTTTACAGTAAAATCCTAAGACCTTGAATACTTAATGACAGACATGTTTGATTTGCTACTTTATTTCCAAAATTATTTTCCAATGCTTTAAGTGTTGATTTATATGTAGTCAGTGAGGGGAATTCTGCCCCAAGAAAACAGCTAAATCTGCTATAGTTTGTACCATTAAAGTTACACCTGGTGCAAAAGTAACAATATCTAAACAACTATGAAAATATGTAGTAGCTTTTTAGTAACCTACTTGATTTGGGAAAAATCTATTCAAACCATCACCCCACAGAAGAATTGATTCAACAACTGCCTTAAGGAAAAATTTAAGAAGCCTCTCATCCCGTCCTTAAAAAGTGCCGCCAAAGACTTTAAAAAGGAGATTTCATCCAGTATAAGTTAACATTATCTTTGCTACGGTCTATTTACATTTAAGAGATTTTTTTCATTTCTTAAAATAAAGAAACTGCAGTTGTTAAAGAATTTAAATTCATAAAAGGCAACGGGATGAACTGTTACACATTCATCTTGATAGCAAGCTTTTACTTACAATAGCCCCCACCCCCCTAATCTGATGCCGACTTTCAGAAACGTAGTAAAATAAAGGCACTGGAAAGAAATACTCGGAGCGATATAAAATCAGCTCCATTATGCACACACGCTAATCTTTTTTATAATTACACGGAGATAATTTAAAACATTTTTCAGCGACTGGCACCAATTTAAAAGGAAACCATATGGCATTTTAGTTCGGTACAGTTTTCCATGTTTTAAAACAAAAGCGGAATGTTCAAAACAGCTAGCAAATCTTACCACTCATTTTGTTTTTACAGCAGCAGCAGAGGAGAAGAAAATCTAACAAGGAAACAGCGTAGAACACGTTAACAATTCTAATTGGAGAATGGTGGCTGCCCCGCCCCCTCTCCTAGCAGGAAGAGGAAAAGCGCCTTTGACCGAGTCACGTGATGCACGCCACGTGACCGGCACTAACCCGGGAACGGCAACAAAAAAAACGATCCTCCTTGTGGCCTTTCTGACCGAGTGCTTTACACTGTCACTGCCCTGAGTCATGAAGCGATTCAACGTTCAAGGAAATATACACATACTTTAAAATGAGCTTCTTGATCTTCACTTTCCTCCAATTACACCTCAGGCACTAATTTTTAATTAAGTATTTTATTTATCTAGCCTACTGTTTAAAAAGATTAGCTTATGTG